TATCGTCGTGGCTATCGTCGTGGCTATCGTCGAAAGGGACGCGAAGGCTCGAGAATAAAGAATTTTTTACTTCTCATCGCCTATGGAGCCGCGAGAGACAAAAGTCGGCACGGACGAAGGGCGTCGGCTGCGCGGGCCTTAACGCGGCCGATTGGCCGATTATGAGTCCCCCTGGTCGCGGGCATCCGTCGTCTTTCGCCGCGGCAGCAGCATCTGTTGCTTCGGCCCCGTCCAGGCCGCAGCTCGGCTCCCTCGGGTGCCGTGGGGTGGTGGGGGAGGCAGCGTCGACGCAGGAGCGGCGCTCGCCTGGCGCCAGGGTGAGAGGCGCCGCCGCGACCCGGACGTTCAGTGGAGCGCGCGACTCCGTGCGGTGAGCAGCGAGGCAGCCGAGGTAGCCGAGGCGAAGGCCACCGCGACGTGCCTCTGGTGCGCGGTGCGACGAGCATGACTCGCGACTAGTGGTGAGCGCCCGCCCGGGGAGGCGGGGGGGGAACCCCAGGATTCCGGTCCGCGGGGGGATGGCCGAGCCCTCGGACCGCGGCGGCCGCTGCAGGGCCAGGGTCCAGGGGACGCGCCGGCGCAGGGCCCGACGCAGAGCGAGCGCCTGAGGGCCAGGACTAGGAGAGGTCAGTGCGGCCCCGGGGACCGACTATACCCCCGACCCCCAAGCCCAAGCTACTCCGACCAATAATCATTTCATTGGATTCATTATCCGGAGCTTGACATTCGCGCCCTCGGCAATCATCGTCCGCCTACTACCCGACGCCCCTCGGACTTCATCCCATTTATCTCGTCATTTTACTAATGGAGCTGACATATCTATCGGCCATTCGAGATTACGATTGCGTGACTTTGGGCCAGCCCAGGGGGACAGCTAAGCTCGCCCAACTTGGCCGTTACGTGCTGCGGACCAAAATCAATCGGATCAAGTTGGATGTTTATGGCTTAGGACGTTGTTATTGTTACAGTGGTGCTTTCGTACCGAGTGATTGGCTTTTGTTTTGCCGAGTGTAAGGTTAGGTTTTTGTGATTTACCCGTTCGTTAATGCAATACGTTAATCCACCGTGACAACAATCGCATCGGAGCCGATCGTTTTTCATCCTCGAGCGCCTCCTTCGTCCTATTTCGCGTCCGTTCCGAGTCGCTGTCCTTCGGTCCAGCATCCTCCTCGCGAACGATCGCATGTACGCTATCCCGTATTATCTGTATTATACGGCTAATATCCTTAGAATAAATCACCTTAGCACATTATGTTAATTAAGTAATTAATATATGTATAGGTAAATGTATAGGCAGTTATTGTTTTGTTGTTAAGTGAACGTAATTCAATGGGATTCGGCAAAGCTGCTTAAGCGTCAAGTTTTAGAGTTGCTAAGGCTAGAAATTCATATGATTTTACGAATAATGAATTATTTTTTCAACTTAAACTACGACTTGTATTTTTCGTTGCTTATTATTATTAACGAATGCAGCGTGTGCGTGGCGTTGGGCAAAACTTCGCATCTCGTAAATTGCCAATATTTTATGTCTTTTCTTTGTATTAAATCGAGGGGGAGCAATATTCGCAAAATATCGAATATTTTTCGACGTGGATATTAGCGAAATTATTAACATAATATCGATAGGGTAAATGCAATCACATTATTTGATATAAGATTTCATTACTCCTTATTAATCGAGTGAGATATAATATTTAATTGTTATTTTGTTAATATTTAATTGTTATACGCAAACATCTTATAATTCTTCATAGGCAATTATGCTGAAGTTTTGTAAATCGATAGGAGCTCATTACTATGCAAAAAGCATTTGATCTACGAAGTTTCTAATGTGCTTATCGCGACAATAATTATTGAAAAAATTCGAAATAAAAGCGTTATTAGTAAATTTGACTCGATATTTGGCATTTTCCCGTAAATTCAAATATAATTATCCTCATTACTGAAAGAATGATAATAATAATAAATTGTAATAAATAGCAAACGATATTGCGGCTTTAATTTCATTCAATGACAAACATGTTTTTTAACGACATGTATATAGTAATAAAGAGCTTGTTGAAAAGAGTTTCGTCATTGTGAAAGAACGATCGGACTGCAAAAGATGTTTGTAAATTATTAATAAAATAACGTTTATTTATTTATTTATTTATTTATTTTCTTCTTCTTTTTTTTTTGCTCTCCTGTGCGTAAGAAATCGTTTGTTCAACCTCTGCCTACCGAAATATCTAAATTCGTTAAGGAATAATCGCAACTTCAAGCAATCATTGCCGTTAATTTTTGTTGTTTTACCTCCTGTGCCTGAAATTTGTCTTCGCTACTTTAATATCTGTTTATTAAGCAATCGTTAAACGCGCAAAACAATGCAAAAATTGCATGTAATTTAAAAAAAAAGCTAAGGGAAAATAATTATAGCACGATTGGTAGAGAATTCTCGATGGAGTGTTGACGTTTCAATATAATGTAATCGTTGAAATGCGAAAGTAAAGTATCAAAGTTTATCAAAGTACCAAAGTTTATTCGTTGCATGCATTTTTGCTCTTCTCTGCCTATTTAAATTATTTGCCAATTTACATAAAACAATTTGCATAGAGTTGACGCGACGGAAATGATACAAATCTATTTATGGTAATGGATCGGAACACTTCTTTCTCCATTGTGTTGGTCGTTCGATTTCATTATGCGTACTTTTTCAAATGGGACATTTTGCATAATAATTAACAACGTGGCTGAAAATATAGATTTGCAAAATATACATATGTGCACGGAGTAAAACGTCACGCCGATTTTCAGTTTTCATAAAGTAAAATGTTTATTTGAACTTTCAGGCCATTGCTACTAGTAATTGGAGCATTTCCACATAAAGTTTATTTGTTTGTTGCGTATATTGTATATTTATGAATTTTTAAATTACTAGACTCCGATTGCAAATCCGTGGATATTTTATAATCAGTTTTGCCTTTAATGCGCGCGTAATAACACATTTACTATTAATTAATTAAATCATGAAACATTTTAGTATCTAATTTCTCAACAAGCGAAATACAATATAATGTAATAAGGTTATCATTTTAATCCTTTCTTAACACATTTTTTTATCATTTGTTTACGTATATATATATATATATATATATATATATATATATATATGTCGTATATCGTATATTTATTCCAAATGAACTTGAATAAGTTCTTGCTTCAAACTAAATGATCTGCACTAATTAAAGTTACTCTCAAACTTACATATCGATTATTGACTATTTAATAGTGAGAGAGAGAGAGAGAGAGAGAGAGAGAGAGAGAGGGAGAGAGGGAGAGAGGGAGAGAGGGTGGGAGCATATTTAAGATACACTGGCACCTCATAATATTTAAAAATACTTTCCACCAATATTTATTAATGTTTCATGTACGCATTCAGAATATCTAATTTTCAAAAAGATGGATCGATTAAAAGTTATACAATCTACATGTTTTCAAGTTATAAATCAGCAGCCGAGATTAGAGTTTTTATATAAATATAAATATAAATATGGCTCATTCTAAAATTAAATAATATTCTGATAAACAATTATGGACTCGAGCAATTTCTTATTAAATCAAATAGATAATGCTCAATGCTTTGTTGAATATTTAACAAAAAGCTGCCACTCAAAACTTCAAAATATTCAATAATTATAACGAATAATTAAAATATGCAATAGTTAAAACGCACTAATTAGTTGTAGATGATTATGTGAAAAACAAAGAAGAGAGCTATACGTTATATGATTATCTTCAAAAGTATTTAACAGTGTTGCGCGCGCACACAAACACACACACAAACACACACACACACAAAACAATAAAATATCCATATAATTAACAAGCTTATTCTATTCTCGATGATATAAAATGTTTTTTTTTCTTTTTGTCTTTTGTTTTCCAGGCATCATTAATAGGCGGGCCTTTAGTTTACAAAATTAATTAATTATAAATGAGCCACTTGCAAAAGTGAGTTCCGATACTTCAAAATTCAGTCCCTAAAATTCGTATAAATTTCATTCCGTCGTTATTTACCTTAACATGCGCAAATCATAAAAGTTGAACAAAAGCAAAAAAACATTAACGGAATGAATTCTTTAAATTCATCTATAGCGAACAAAATGATATAAATTCACGTTGGCATGTATGCGGAAGGGCTTATTGTAACGCAATACTGCCATTACCCAAAAAATGCCAAGTACATACTCTGCGCACGCGTGTGCACGGGACTTGTCTATAAGCGACAAATGCATAAGTTAATATTATGATTCGTTCGATCAAATGCATCTATCTGTATCTAATCGTGTACGCTGTAATCAGGGATTCTCTGTGCACATGGACTATCGTATGCCGAGGCATACATGCTTTTCCAGAAGTACATTTAAATTTACTTTAATTTGGCCAATACAATTTGCGCGATACTTAATTGAAATACGTTCGTAAAGTTCGATTCTTTAAAAACAATTATTCTTATAAATTATGTTATTACGATTGAAGTTATCATTCTTTTATCGCATTGTCTCTTTCTCCTCTCAATTTTCATCTTCGTCTAGATGTCAGTTGATTTTTTACATTATCATTGCGCGTCTAATGTTGGCACACGTATGTTTCATTCTCATTATACGGGACACGGTGATCCGTACATTTATCTCCTTTATCATTTATCTCCTTAATCGCGCGCCAAACGTAAGCATATAAATGAGACGACAGTAACTCTTGTTAAATCGTTTAAATAGACAACAATTCGCCTGTCTCAAGGAACATCAAGCGTCTGCAAATTTACTCTCAAACTCCGTCAATATCGAGCTCAAAATGTGATTTCGGACGAATTGCAAGGACATGAGGTAGCGCCTTTGTTCACGCGCATCAATTCATATTACGCAATCAAAGATTCAACGTACGAAAGATGTAATTGTTGAGATAAAAAAAAAAACAAAACAAAAAAAAAAAAAGCCGCGAACGGGAGAAGCGATAGAGATAAATTTAGCGAGGCCTCGGTCATATTACCCACGCAATATTGTATGTAACGAGTCTACGGGCTTAAACCGACAGCCGAATCCACTTCGGCCTATCCGAATCCGAATCCGTATACCGAATCCACCATGTCGTACGTACATACGTCGAAGCTGTCGTTGTCTTTTCGACCAATTGGATTGACGGGTGAAGGTGCGCCTACGTGTGAGACGCTCAACGACAAACAAATCTCACACTCTTGGTGATGTTTATGCGAGTGTCACTGTTTTTAAGCGATGACGAGCCGCGTTATGCGCTCGATTGCCGTAGTATCTATGTTAGGCTCTCAAGCCACTCCTAAAGCACCCCGGTGTACTTTTCAACTTAAGCTCCTGTCCCCTTCGTCATAACTGCGCACGCGTAATATACTGGTCGCCAAGTCAAAAAAAAAAAAAAAAAAAAAAAAAAAAAAAAAAAAGGGGGAAACAGCTACGCGTTCGCGGCTAGATCGCGATGATCGACGACGGCCCCTTTCCATTAAAAACTGCCTAAAAAAAATTCTTTATAACTTTGGCTTTTATCGTGGCATTATGCTGCTCTTCCTCTTGGCGTTTCGCGAGCGGATTTCTCGTGGATTAAGCGCCTAAAAAGA